CCTGCAGGCTGCATCCCTGAACCTTCATCCCTGGGTACCTCACAGAGGTCACTGCAGTTTTCCCCACGTCCCTGCCTCCAATTCTTTTCCAGGAATGTCCAGGCATACCAGATGGTAGTGCACCTGTAGGGCTGGGCTTGACTTGGCGTGCATCCAGGGCACACACCTACAGCTGTTGCCCTGCTGGGCGGTTACAGCTATCGAGGATTATTAGACTGGGAGGTTTCTCAGTCATTTCTGAAAGGAGTGGACATCACGTCTTCAAGAGAGGAAATCTCATAATCTACATTTGAGTGAAAGAAGAGTTGATAGGTGCATGAATCTTACTATGCAAGTGGCAAAACTTTTTCTCTGAACGCCTTCTCAGATTGTACTTCCTTGGTGTTTGGGTGAGAAATACATAAGATCTAGTATTTTATCCATCCTATTGAACTAAAATGATGTACTATTTTGAACACCAGACTTCAGAATAAACTGAATCTGCCCAGGAGAGACTAGGGGAAAGCAAAAAATGCAATCTAAATTCAGAAAATCTTGTTTTATGATTTTTGAAGTGAGATTAAAGAACTGGGAACTGAGAAAAGAAAGTGGGTAAGATGCATAGTAAGTTTTCAGACATACAAAGGGTAATTGTGAAGAAAAGGGAATTACACTGTTCGATGAGAACATTGTCAACATGGCAAAGAGGGAGATTGGGTTTTGAGATTAAGACATCTCAATATAGGTGTTTGAGTTTCTGTTATGGTAAATGGAGATGCAGTAGATGCAGAGTGCACCTATTCAGTTGGATCAAATTGTACTTTCAAAGCAAATCTCCAGAGTGTGTGAATCTGATCCTCCTGGGTGAAACTGCGTTGGGAGATGCATCCACCTGCTCCTGGGTGTTTGGTCTGTGGAATGAGGCTAATTCTAGTCTGAAGTAACAACCACAAAATGTGGGTTGTGTAGTGTTGAGTTATCAGCAGCAACTGCTTTGCCCTACAAATCCTCTCGTATTGTGCTTACAAAGTAGACATAGCTACAGTCAGTGGAGCCCAGAGACAAGTAGCAGATGTGGGCTGGCTTTGAGGGGAATTGAACTGCTCTCTGGTGTCCCTGTCTGTATTGGCTATATTTCTGTTGAGTGTAACAGAATTTTAGGCACTTGGCGTTCATTTAGACATGTAAATTTGTGTGCCTTAATCTGAAACTGAATCTCATCCAAACAGCAATATGATCAACATGAAAGAGCTAAAAATTGAAATAATAAAATTAGGATAAAAATTAAAAAAGACTTTTCCATTGGTAAGGTTAGCTAGGCACCGCCTTAGGTTAGCTAGTGAGGCTGTCGGACCTCCATCACTCCAAGCACTTGGTGTAGTTCATCTTGCCCTAGGGCCAGGAGATGGGCTAGTAGATAACCTTGGATGGTCTCTTCAGCCTACTTCTCTAAGCGTGGAAGAACTCCACTTGCCCATCATCTTCAACACCAAACTTACTTACAGGAGATGCAAAATCCAAATCTGCCAACACGCAGCGTACATGAAAGACCACGTTTCTTGGACTTACTGTTTCATAGTGTAGCAAATAACCTTCTTCCTTGCTCAGTCTGCATCTTTACGTTATAAAACTAAGCTGTGTGTTCAAAATCTGTCCTTTAGTCACTTCCTGACTGCACATGAACATGGATTTGGGCAAGAGCAGTCTTGTAGTCCCTATAGGGACTCCAGTCACACCCTTCTTTCCCCTGCCCTCTCGCCTACTCCTGCTGCTTTCCTGTAGTATTTCATTCCATTTCTATTACTTCAGGCCTCAGGTTTTCCACCTCATTTTCTGTAACCATTGAGTTTTCTTCTGACAATGCCTTCTCAGCTCTGAGTCATCAACAGATGTCATCAGTAGATGTCTGTTTTTTGTGCCAAGGCTATGGTCCACATCAGATGACAGACCAGGCTTTCCTACCCTTACTGAGCCATTTAATAGAAAACAGCTATAGTATATTAAAAAAAAAAAAGAGAGAAATCCAGAGTTCAGCAACTATTGGATATATAACTTTTCATTTTTCCTTGAAGAAAATTGGTGGATAAGGAATTGACTAGATGGTCACACTCGAAGAGTTTTGGTCAACGGCTTGATGTCCAACTGGAGGCCAGCAATGACTGGCATTCCTCAGGGATCAGTATTGGGGCCGGTGCTGTTTAACATCTTTGTCGGTGACATGGACAGTGGGATCCAGTGCACCCTCAGCAAGTTTGCTGACGACACCAAGCTGTGTGGTGTTGTGGACATGCTAGAGGGAAGGGATGCCATCCAGAGGGATCTTGACAGGCTTGAGAGGTGGGCCTGTGCAAACCTCATGAAGTTCAACAAGGCCAAATGCAAGGTCCTGCACATGGGTTGGGGCAATCCCAAGCACAGAGTTACAATCCCAGATTGAGAGGAGCCCTGAGGAGAAGGACTTGGGAATGTTGGCTGGTGAGAAGCTCAATATGAGCCAGCAATGTGCACTGGCAGCCCAGAAAGCCAACCGTATCCTGGGCTGCATCCAAAGAAGTGTGGCTAGCAGGTCAAGGGAGGTGATTCTGCCCCTCTACTCTGCTCTCGTGAGACCCCACCTGCAGTACTACGTCCAGCTCTGGGTTCCCCAATGCAAGAATGACATGGAGCTGCTGGAGCGGGTCCAGAGGAGGGCCACGAAGATGATCTGAGGGCTGGAGCACCTCTCTGATGAAGACAAGCTGAGAGAGTTGAGGTTGTTCAGCCTGGAGAAGAGAAGGCTCCAGGGTGCCTACAAGAAAGCTGGAGGTGGACTTTTTACAAGATTGTGTAGTGATAGGACAAGGAGTAATGGTTTTAAACTGAAAAAGGTTAGATTTCAATTAGATCTAAGGAAGGAATTCTCACTCTGAGGGTGGTGAGGCACTGGAACAGGTTGCCCAGAGAAATTGTGAATGCCCCATCCCTGGAAGTGTCTCAGGCCAGGCTGGATGAGGCTTTGAGAAACTTGATCTAGTGGAAGGTGTCCCTGCCCACAGCAGAGGGATTTGAACTATATGATCTTTAAGGTCCCTTCCAACCCAAACCATTCTATGATTCTATGATTACCTAAGGACTATAGATTGAAAACTACAAGAGCAAAAATATTTTGTCTGTCTTAGCAATAAAACAGAATGTTTTGAGGCTGCTTTGCTACTAATCAAACAAATTGATTTTTACTTCTAGTTATCTTAATGAAAGACTTTCTGTTTATAATGACTAATGGGATTTTCTCTGCTTTCTTAATGTGCGTCTCAGTGAAAGACGTGCTAATTCTTGAATTCCAGACACTTTTTATACGTGGTTCTCAGGTTTCCGGTACGAGGAAACTTCTCACCTTGTGCCTCTTGTCTCCATTCAGTATTCAGACAGAAGCACTTTTCCCTTCAGTTTGCCAGTAAGAACAAACAAGGATGTTCATGATGACATCTTGACAATTATTTACCTTCCAAAGGAGTTGCAGCTTCTGTTGGAAAACCTCAACTACAAACCAAAATTCTCCTGACACTCTTCCTGACATAATCTCATTAATCATAAAAACAAATTTTAAAAATCCATATAACCAGTATAAACAAATAAAATTAAGAATATCCTTGAAAACGGTTTGATCTAAGGTGGAAGATCCTGTAGCCCTCACAATGCATATCCATTAGGGAATTTTGTGCTTGCTGATTTTTGTCTTCGGAATTTATACATTGGGAAAATTGCCGTTGGAAAAACAATTTTGTTGTGCAAGTCGAAACAGCAGCCTGCTGCATTGCTCAACACCATCCACTGCATTGCTGCATTGTGTGAGAAAGAGATAACATCTTCAAAAAAGAGAAAACCAAGCTGTCATCGATACAGCAATCAAGGCTGAGTCAGAGGGATGAATAGAGAGAGCCCAGTCAGCAGTCTAGAAACCAGTCAAAGAGAATATAAAGGAATACTCTCTGACTTATTTCAGTAAGAAATCACCTTTTCTGGGCCTGCTTTGCCTTAGGCATTATTATTAAAAAAAAAAAATCACTTAAGATGCAGAATGTAGGTAGATGGAGTAGTTCTGAGAACAATAAAAGTATTCTCTTCTCTGCCTATACAAAGCTCAAAAGCTCTTTTTGTTAGTTTCACGTGTCGTAATAACCTACCTGTTGTTGTTTCCCAATGCCTACATTTTTGCACTGTTTGAGAGGTTTTGTTACTCGCGGAGTCTTTGGTGCATGGAGCGTGGACGTACACGCAGTGTCTCTGGTAATTTGGCTGATGGCTCCAGTTCCTTCTATCCAGGATGGTGTTTAAGGGCGTGCATAGCTATCCTGGTGCATGAAGAGATGGGCAGTCCCAATACTGGATGGTGGCATAGAAAGTTTTGTCAGAGCAAGCACGATTTGCTTGGTAGCATGCTAGTGTCCCTGCCTTGTTTAAGTAAAGGATGGATGTATGCCATTTATCCTCCCAGCAAGGCGCTGAGTCGGGAGCTGCTTCTGTCCTTTACGCTTCAGCAGATGTTTTGATTAGTCCTTGCTTTTAAACGTTATCTGACATGCGATGTTCTCCGAGGTGGTCGGTAACCCACCACAGCCTGTGTAATCCATGAGTTGCCCAGAAGAGGGAGCTTCTCCAGGGTGCCGCTGGCAGCCAGCGCTTATTTCAATCAATGGCAAATTCCCATTGTTTCAGAATACTGAAGCATTATTCAGCACGAAAAAATTGTTGTTTAAAAATGACTATAAAGTCTGCATTTATTAAAAAAAATAATTGCTTATTATCTGTTTCCTGCTGGGAGAAAAGTGCAAAACTTAATTATAGTTATGTTTTTAATGTGAATGGTTATTGGTAAATTTTTCAAAAGCTTTTACGGGTAAAGAGTTAATACTAATTGATAGAGGTCAGATGCCCTCTTCCTTATGGTGTTGCTGTTCTTACAAGGTAGGTTATGTCAGTTAAGTTTTAGTACTGCTAAAGTGACATAATACTAATGATGATTATTGTAACTTCCATTGCAGATCTGTTTGAATTACGGAAATGGGCTCTACGTGAAGGTAGGATATAATGGAAAACTGTGTTTCTTTATCAGTGTCTGAAGAAGGGCTCTCTGAGCAAAGAGCAAGTGTAAAAGGCGTGCTTTACTTCAGTTGATAGATGTCTTCATTTTTACCATTTTCTGAAACATGAAAACTGTGTAATGAATAATGAAATGAAAGTTGAAATGGAAGTGAATAGATTCCTACATCTATCAAACTGAGTGGGGTTCAACTTTGAGAAACTTCCCCTAAAATACTAGATTTGTAGATATCTTTTTTTTAGTTCTCTGTAAATTAAATCAACTATTATTTTATGGAAGATGTCATTCATTTCCAAGTTAATGTCAACATTTCCAGTTTTTAATCTGGAAGCCAGAAGATGCAGAAGGGACTAAGCTGGACTGAAGGTCAAAGGGTGTCATGCAGAGTGAAAATGAGGGGTAATTGAGCAAGGATGGCAGAGACAGTGGAAGGGTTGAATAGAGGCCTGCTGTTTCATGTATTCTGTTTCAGAGAAGATTGAGTATGAGGTGGAATTGGTGGGATGGCTAAAAGGGTAAAAAGGAAGAAATGATGGTTTAAAACAGCCTTAGTGGTGGTTTAGAACAGCCTTAGTGCCAAACCTCTTCCCACACCTGATGACAAGCACTTAAAGCTTCCAGAACAGATGTATTTTCACCAACCCCTGGTCCTGGGAACTTGGTCGTGTATATAAAGCCTGTCTTACCTAATTCTGTCTTAATGAAAGGACTAGTGTAGTTTTGCTCTTCAAACAGCTCAAGGAACATATAGCTCTTAGATTGTGGTTTAGAAGGCTAGTGTTGCTCCATGATTTCGAAGTTACTAGGTATTGAAAGAGTAAAAGCTATTCAGAAGTCTGGACTATAGCAGCAGTAAAGCTTTCATCTGAAATGGCCAAATGCAGTGCTGACATTCAGCCTTGTTTTTTCGCAGGTTTATAATCGAAATGGCAGGAGCGGCTTGTTGTCTCACCCCAACAGCCTACTCAGACAGAAGCGAGAATGGACGGTCCCTCCGGCTTTTATACGGGAAGAGGAGGACAATTCCTATAAGAATCCAATTGCTAGAGTAAGGCCAGAAAAGAGATAAATACAGCATACACGTAAAAATAGAGACGAAAATGTAAAATAAGGGTGTGACTGCCCTAAACACATGCACAAATATTTATTGAATTTTAAAGGACTATTGACTGTCAATTGAAGATTGGCACATTTCCTGCTGTTTCCTTCCTTCAGCAGATGAGTCACTCTTGTGGCCTGATTTGGCTCAGTCTCTTATCTATTTCCAGCCACCAATTTTCATAAAACTTTTGGGAATGCAACATCTTTGAGTTTTTTCGCTCCACCTCTCCTACTCAGCTGTGGCCGAATTTGGCAAGTGGGTCCCAAAGCTGCTGGTGATGATTTGGCAAAAGAGTGTACATGAAGCATGGTTACATATGCCTAATTTTTTAGGAAATAGAGCTAAAAATAACCAAGGTGTCACCCTTTGTGCAAGAGTGATATGCATTTGGTTCGGAACCAGTGTTGAAACCTGAATTGACCACACCTGTCACTTCAGGTGAGGAAGGGTATAATCTCTAGTCTATACAGCCTCTTCTGCCTGTTCCTCTCCAGGTCTGACCTTTCTTCCTCCACCTTATCGCTTCCTCAGTCCTAGTCACACTCTCTAGCTTAGATCTAATCTCCCTTAAAAAGTTGTCATATTTTATTTCCAGGCTTTGCCTTAAGTAACTTCAGTTTGCCCTGCTCAACTCATTGTTCCAGACTCTTTTTTTTTTATCCTTGGTCTTTCTCCACATTTTATTTGCCCCTATCCATTTCATCAGCCAGTTTCCTTCTTCCCTCACTTCAACTTTTCACCATATCGTGGTTTTCCAGCCTTTCCTTGTGCTTGTGTTCTGTCCCACTCTCTTTGTCCAAGAAGTCCCAATTTTCTTCTCCCGCAGACCTCTCCACTCCACAGTTCCCAGCTGTTGCCCTTCCCATCATGTTCCTCATCTCCCTACACAAGATCCCCAGGCAGAACATGTTAAGACAAATGCAGGAAGAGTTACATCTCCACACTCAAAGGAGGGCAGGAAAATATGTGTTCAATATTTATTTTTGTTTGTTCATTACAAAAATAGCAAAAATGTTCTATTTGCATTTTTAAATGTGGTTTTATTTACTGAATGCTATTTAATCTGTTATATCCCTGTTAGATACATTCTGATCTTGAAGATACAGGGGTAGTGGTGACTTATACAATATCTGGTCAAGGAGTAACAGAACCCCCTTATGGATTGTTCGTTATCAATGGAAAGACTGGAGACCTGAACATAACAGGAAGGGTTGACAGAGAAAAGACTCCAATGTTGCTTGTAAGTGGAATAGTAACTTTTTCCTTATAGGTGCCCACCTATCAATTTTTTATTTATTTTGTTCAAATGCATTTGCTTCTATTAGTTTTAATGTTTCTGGATATTTGTGTGTGTGTGCCTGCTTATATTTATAAGAATATTATATATGCTTATTTAATGCTTACATTTTGTTATATATATTATGTTTTCCATATATTCCTATTTTGCATACGTATTTATATATATCACAGTCCTCATTGTATTTCTTTATTTTTTCTATCTGTATTATTTCAGCTCAGAGGTCATGCGCTAGATAAGACTGGAGCAAAACTGGAAGAGCCAATAGACCTCCCAATTAAAATTGTGGATATAAATGACAATTTTCCAGTGTTTTCACATGAAGTTTTTGTTGGTTCAATTGAAGAATTAAGTGAAACAGGTAACATTACTTTTAGAATTTTTTTTTTTTCCATTTAGCTTTTCCCAACACATGCAGGGGCACAAGTGAAGATACTCTTTGCAGCAGCATATCTGTGGTGACAAGGATGCATTCTCTTGCTTGCTTAGGCCAGGTTATCCATGTATGAATTCAAGTTTTTATTCAAGGCTAAAACGTGTGGTGTGATGATGGGACACCGTCTGCATAAAGGCAACAGAGAACGCTTCCTCTTATAGAATCTTTGGTTTGATGTCAAAGCTACCACAAATCTAGGGACCAGAAT